GGACGCCTGAGCAGAATGCACATAGGATTTCGGGTTTAGGGTTTAGGGTTTAGGGTTTATGGGTTGGGAACCGGTCGCACATGAGGAAGATACCGTGATCAGTACTGAGTAGCCACACACTGTTCGGAGCAAGAACCGTCATTTGCACCGTCTTCCTCTTGGTGGTCGTCTTCATCGGAACTTCATTTCATACTCGTGGCAGCAACAGAAGTATGCCGCAGCAACAACAACACAAGACGGGGAAAAGCAATGCTTACACTTTACACTCGCATATGATGACGAAGATGCGAGTTTCGCGTGGGAGGTGCCTTGTCTACCCCAATGCATTGTTGCCCACGATTTTCTCATGCAGCTTGTGATGTTCCGGTGGGAGAGTCCTTTGGTCCATCTGTTGCTCTGGAAGCAACCGGCTTGTTTCCGTTGTGCGTCCGACCATTTGTCATTCGGACCCTGGTTGCTCTAACGGTATCATCAAGTCTCTACCCTTGCCTTGAACTCAGCACACTACAGCCTGACATGGTTCAGCAGCTCGCGACGGTGGGAGACTGTTCAGGGTTTGGACTTCTCAATAGTTGAGCGATTTTGAATAGCGCTAGCTGCGGTCGAAGCATGAGCCCAGCCTATCCCAGCCTCATGTGCAACCAAACGAGTGCTTGTACAGAGTTGAAATCAGATGCTTCCCTGCCAGGTAGACACATCGGATGGCGTGAGCCATGGTTCCAGCCATGATTCCAGCCAGGATTCCAGCCATGATTCCGGCCATGATTCCGGGCATGACTCCGGCCATGGACACGGACGTCGACTGCACCGTGTGCACCACGGACGTCGGCTGAGCGGTGCGGGGCCCGGACTGCTATAGCCTTGCCCTGCCATTACTCAAAAACAACAAACTGCAGCTGCTGCTATGTATGACGCATGTACACGTGTACGTACGTCCGGTGTACCTGCCCCTACCACCACTGTTTACTACCGATGATACTTTTACTGCGACTGCGACGACGACAACGTACTACTGCTACTACTACTACTACTCCTCCTCCTCCTCCTACTACTACTACTGCTACTGCTACTGCTACTGCTACTGCTACTGCTACTGCTACTAACAGCGCTTCCTCGGCGACGACGACCGCGACCACTGCTGCCACTACTGCGGCTGCTACTATTACTTCTACTTCTACTACTACTAATACTACTCCTCCTCCTCCTCCT